TTTTTTACATTTGTTTTACAATCGAGAGACTTTCTGTAAGTAAGAATTCCATTGTACCAGTACTGGTTACATATGGCAATAAAGTTCAAGTTCAAGTTTTTTGCTGTGGTAAGTACAGGTGGGACACATTTTCATGCAGTCAAACGTCTGCTGAAACCTTCTACTTGCTCATGTCCAAGTACTAGTAAATGCCACTTCTGTATATTACTCCTGTACAAATGGCAACAGGACACAACGTTCTGAAAATGGCACACATACTGTACCAGCTCTGTGTAAAAGAAAATGTGGAAGAACCAGCCAGTCTGGGAACAAGAAACCAGAATAACCGAATATGGTGCTGAACCAACAACAGACTCTTTTACCATGAAGAGAACTGATGGTGATGTAATCTAGATGATTAGTGGATTAGTACCAGACACCTAAAATGGCATTGCAGTCAAATTATATTCTGCTTATGTAGCTTTTTACAGCGATAATTACATAAAGTAATGTGACACACTGAATTACAGTGAAACATTTGAATGTGCCTCACATTTCACTGATGCTACCTTATTTCAGATGATTCTGGACACCTCCAAACTGAAAAACAATTCACACCCACATCAAGTTAAACACAGCAAGAGCATCCATGGAATATGTCTCAAATTCCAAGAAACAGTCAGGCACTTACTCATTGTGATTCCATCCAGTCATCGGGGTCATTATCACCCTCATATCAGACCAGTAAGGACATTCGCTCGATTCAACAGTGATTGACGGTGCCTTTTTTCATCCTGTTTGCGATATCAAAAACAAATGATTCACGTTTCCGTACAGTGTTAGAGATTAGAGAGCAGCAGCTGGCAACCTTATATTCCTATTGGGAAAACAACATAGTTAGGGGCCAATATACTGTATTATGTTCATCCCATTCAAAACTGACGTGTTCTCAATTTCACTGGTGTTTTGTTGTGGTAAACTTCTCTACAGATGAAATAATTATGCTTGACTCAAAACGAAAAGAGAGATCCAGACACAGTAAAATATTGGCAAACAGAAGCAATGAATAATATCAGATTAGCAATGCAACCTTCAGTGGGCTGTGGAAAGAGCAGTAGAGTGTGTTCTTGTATTCTGATGCGTTCTGTAGCAAAAGAGTTCTTACGACTGTGGACTTTACCCAACTTTTAATGTATTTACAGTCGTCATCATCAGAAAAAGCTATGCAAATCTAAATTATATTACTGTCTGCAAAATGATAACTGTTTCTGAACACAAACACTTCAACCACCAAAGGTTAAAGGAGCAAGGTGCTCAATATCATCCCAATACAAGACATGAGAATACCTCTAAAAATAATTACACACATACTTTCTCTTCGTTTGCGATCCATGATGAGAGCAGGTGGTCTGCTTGTATAGACACAGGCAACCTCCAGATGTGGACAGCACGTATCTTCTGTATCTTGGCAGTGTAGGGAGTGGTACTGTACCTCAGGTTTGGTCCCTCTCCAACTTGAAACGATGATGTATGTTGCCATTGAATGTTTTCCATGTGCTGCTTCCTTTAATACCCCAGGGAAATAGGAAACTTTCAGGGGCCTCTGTCATTGCACAAAGTATTATTTAGGGTTGTGAATAATAGTAACATCTTGTTTTTTGGAATTCAATTAATTATTGATGACAGATATGCTATTGCAATTGCAGTATAAAATTACTTGATTTTTTGAGTGAAATGCATTATCCAATCTGTTACTCATTTTAGGTGATATTTATGCTCCTTTTCAATCAGGGGTATCAGTAAATTGATATCGATGGATTATAAAAAAGCAATCTGCTGCATACAATGATTCAATGAGATAGCTGCATCATAACCTTTTGAGCAATAAAATATAAAAAAACTATGGAGTATATAAATACAATAAATTGAACTCCCTGGGTGTAGTTACTTCATGTGACCTGTTACTTACACCTGCCTTCCATTTTGTCAGTTCACTTACTATACAGATTTGGGACTAATTTTCTGTAATTGTGCATAGTAGGAGGTTTTATTGACACCTTGATATTGTTCACTGTGGCTTACACTATTATTAAAATCAAGTTTAATTCATATAATATTGTACGTTCAAGTAACGCAAGTGTGCATATAATTCATTGCAAATGTGTAGAGAGCAAAAAGGTGGTTTGTGTTTGACACACCATGGACATTTGTATATCATGTGGTGCACATTTTTAACACCCAGGAGACAATTTCTAATTCGGAAATATATTGGCATCTTCAAAGATTTTTCAAAGTCCAGCTGGTGAAGTAGTTGTAACGGCCCTGGACCGGAGCGGTGGCTCTGTGACTCGGGGTCTGCGCCTGTGGCTGGAGGGTTGCTGGCTCAAATCCCGCAGCTGGTGTAGTAGTTGTTACGGCCCTGGACTTCAGACTGGAGGGTTGCGAGTTCAAATCCCAGCTGGCATCTTGCTGACATCTTTGAGTCAGATCTTAAATCTTTAATCGGATTGTCTGATTCAATCCCCTGAAATGGTACTGAGCCCTTCATTGTAAATATGAATTTGTTCTCAATTGACTTATCAAGTTAAATACAGAAATGTTATTTCAAGTACATCTCATAATCTGATTACATTGCTTAAAATGAATATTAAAGTAGCAGAATCTTAGTTTGTTTTATTCTTCTCTGTTTGAACCAATGGTGAAAATGCTGAAATACTCAGAAAGCAACATAGTGTAGTGTAAATACTGTGTCTTTATAAGATGGAAATTACCATTAGGGGATATACATGTAGTCATCTTGACATGATGTTAAAATGGCTTAGTTCCTGATAAATGGTTTTCCTATACTTGTTGGAATGGCTCCTACAGAATACTCACTTCCTACCACAAAGAAGAAAGGCATTTAAAATCGGAGTCCTTGCTTGCCAATTACAGCTGTGTCCCCAATGGTGCTATTGCTACCTTTATGTATAAACTCTTTTTTATAGGTACATTACTGTCGCAAAGATAAATGACAGTAATGGAGATCTTCTGCTCTGCCTCTATAAGTGGGGTATAAGGGCCAGGAGGTCTTACATAACTGTCAAGGAGAATATATTACTTCCAAGAAATCCTAATAATAAAAGAAGATTTCTCACAGGTACATGTATAAATACAGGATATAATAATATCTAGACTGCAACTCAAGGCAAAATTTCATTTTTAATAGTTGAGCCTTATACTCTTTCTGTATTGCTGTTAAATGTGATGCTGTGATGGACTGTGGATGACTAATGCTTGCCTGCTGTGTGGTAAGACATGACTTTCACAGAAAATGACTTTCGCAGAAGCTTCTGAAATAGCGTGGACAGGCATGATTGCACAAAGTTGCACAAGAGCAGCGCTGACAGTTTGACCGCTGTTAGAAAAAGATTAGGTTATTCCCTCCAATGTAAAATGTAGTGCTGGAAAAGATAGTTTCAAAATGATATCAGCATTCTGGGGCTTGAAAGCAATGAGTGGTAATCGCGCTCAGTGGCAGCTTAATTTGCAGTGCAATTACTGTTTTAGACATCCTATTAAAAACGTCCCTTTGCATAAACTTTTTTATGTTGCACTTGGTAGATGTAATTGTTGTTTCAGATGCTGTATCCAGACTGAGTAAATACCTGGCAGCTGACTTTTAATGTAGACAAGTGCAAATTATTACATGCAGGTACTGTAGCAAAGAAGAAGCTATAAAGACAAAATGGGAAATGCTGAGCTTGGTGGACTTCATTAGTTTCAACAGTGAAACCTGAACCAAAGTTCACAAGCAGAAACTACAGGGATGTGCATTTAAATCTGAGTACATGAAGCACTTTTTTACACAAAGGATTGTAGTAAAAAGATTGTAGTGTGGAACAATCTTCAACAGCCCTGTAGATTTATCCCTGGATTCCTCCAAGAAATATCTGCATCATTTAGCTACTAACTACCAAATGGACATGCGTAATTTGTAACCTTATTTTATTTACAGTATAAGTCTGAAGAAAGGGATTTCTCTTGATATGTTTATTTTACATGCTGGTTTTTAAATTTTGCTTCATATCATAAATCTAGTTCTTTTCTGCAACGCACTATAATTTGTGAAGGAGTTAAACATATTTTTCAATAGCCGCACATACTGTACAATATGTTCCCTTTGGATTTTCTGAATCTCTGCATGCTGTTTGCTACATTATCTTTACCAACTTTCTGTCAAGATAAGATTAATACAATTACTTTGCATTATTTATTTTTTCTCCAAGTCGTTAATCTTTTTTACGGTTGCCCTCAGGATAATAACCAGGACCAGAACAATGACCTGGGCTCTGTATCCAGCATCGGATCTGATGCTTCACTGATGACAACAGGCCAGTCTTCAAGCCTGTTGTCTGTATCAGGGGTAAGACGGGTTTGTTTTATCTGAAAAACATCTTCTAAGTATGAAGGTGTTTTTTTTCTCCAGCAAAAGTATTTAAATAAAAATCAAATGACCAACTTGAGTTAACCTGTGCAGTTGACAACAAAACACTGTGGAAAAGCTCAGTGTCCTTATGCAAGAAAAACAGAACTGGCCACAGACGGAGAACTGTGCTGGAAGTCTGTTTCACAGAGATCCTCCAGAAGTTGGCAAACTCCTATGGTGATTGAACTAGCTGGGATCAGTGGTCTCACCTGCAAGCGTTTGTAGACCTTTATTTGAAAGTGGTCCTCTGCTCCCGGCAGGTTTGGAACAAGGTTTCAGGTTATTTTTTTCAAGGTGTACATTTGCAGTTTCTGTGTTTTCAGCTTCTTGTTTTTTAATTGTTTATTTTTGAGAACTATTTTTTAGAATAGATCAGAATGTCAAATTGTTTTGCCAGAATATATAGTAAGTTACAATGCAAATGCAGGTACTCCTCTGGAGTAGAAGTAATTTATTCACTGTGGAAAACTAGTAACATTACAATCTGCACGCCTTGGTGTCTTCATAATTACAAGCATTGTGCACATGTAAATTTGTTGAGAGGATATATAATTTAAATCAAACAAATTCTAATCGTCCTGCTTTAAACATGCAAAATAAAGTTTATATCATTGAATGATGCGTTTTTAAAAGGAAAAAAATCAGCAGACAAAAATAGTTACAGAATGAAATCCTGTGTGATTTGTGCTCTGGCTTTCTGCATGATCAATTCCACTTTTGCCAGCTGCATTTGTTTGATTTGTTTTTTTAATATTTTATTTTCTTTCTTAAACTCACTCAAAACTAAAAAATAAAATAAAAAACTAGAAATAAAATCGTTTTCAGTTTTTTCTTCCTGTTTTACATGATGAGCCTAGCTTGTAGCTTTGTATGGACAGAGCTGGCATACTGGCCTAGAGACGCTTGTGATGATTGTGATCCGTATTCCTGCAGTAACACATCACTTTAACCATTCTTGTTGACTGGAGCACAGGCTTTCTGTCTCCATATTCTCGCTGATTTACCGTGTTCTTTTTTCCCTTTCAGCTCAGCGCAAGTTTGCTAAGTCTGTACAGTGATGCTGGGGATTTTGGAAACCTTACTGTTCAAGGAGCGGTGGAGTTCTCCATCACATACAGTAGCAGAGGAGAGCTTGTTATTCTGATTGAACAGTGTCAGGACTTGGCGATCGGGAACACGAAGAAAAACCGCACAGACCCGTAAGTGTAAGGAAGAGGGATATTATGTAAAATCATTGTGAGGTAGGATTTGAAAGTATCTTTTTAAAAGGAAATCCTTTTTAATAAGTTTCCTGGTCTTGTTCATTCGCGTGTATTTATAGCACATGTTAATGGGGTTCAGATTATGTTGAACTACAAGGTGCAACAATGAGAGATTGTAAAAGAAATAATGTATCCAGAAATTGTCATTTAAAAAGTCAAGACTTCTTAAGAATAAAGAAAACTAAAAAACCACTACGTTCAAAAACAAATTTGGAAACATTTTTGAAACATTAGTTTACTGTGTCATGCGTAGCTGCAGAAGGCTTTTTGCCTGAAAAATCCTGGAGCAAATATTAAAAAAACACTGTTAAATAGCTGTAGAAACTAGACTTTTAATCTCTCAAAAATACTTGGTAACTGAGCAGATTTAAACAAAATGGCATTGTTCATAACCTTGCTTAAAAAATAATTATGCATTTTTGTTTTAATGTACAATTCAATTTGTAACAGTGAAAATTATCCAGTAATCCAACCAAAACTGAAGCAGTAATAATATGAATTAACTATAAAAAGTGATAGATTGTATGGGTATGTGAAATATGGTGAAAGCAAAGGAATGGATGCTTGTCTAAAAATATAGAAAATAGAACTTGTCCTCGTGGTGAAAGTGAAAATAGAAAGAGGACTGGTTAGAATGACAAATTCCAATGTGAGATCAGCCCTACGAATATGGAAAAAGCACCATCTGAGTTTGTAAAGAACTGTGAAGTAACTGTTCTTGGTTGGATGACTCTGTTGCTGAACCCTGATACTATTGACAAAGGAAAGTAGCAAAGGAGCCAGCCTGCTAGAGCTGGAGCTCATGAATAAATAAATATTGACAGAACTTGCACCCACAGGATGTGAGAAGTTGACTTTAAAAAGTACCTCAGTGCATGGAAGTAGTATTACATTAAAAAGTAAGATATACACAGCATCCATGAAAGTCACAGAAATTTCCTCATTAGACACAAGACCTGTGTTGTATTCATATATAATAAACTATACAGCCAAACAAGTAATAAAATGTTTTAAAATGGGCGCTTATTGCTTTCTGAATTGTTAATAAGGGCAAACACCCTTCTTATCTCAGCACCTACAGTAAATCAGGATTATTCAACACAAGAATCTACTCCTAATTAACATTTCAAAACTGAATCTGGGGCAATTTGGTTAAATTTGCAACTTGTTAGACCAGCATAGAATAAGAGTTTTCCTAATTTATGAATAGGAAGCCTGTATATAATGTAACATTTGAGCCAAGACAAAAATATATTTCAGATGCTGTGCTCTATTTGAAGTCTAGATAATTAAACTCATTGTTATGCCGATCACAAAGTCTATAAGGTGCTGTGCTTGAGGCACATCATTAATTTTTACAAGAATAATCTGAGAACTACATCTGAGAACCTCACGTTGAACTTTGAAATCTTTTGAGGGTAGTTGCTGCTTTCTTCAGGTTGGTGTTGCTGGTCAATATTTTTAATACACCTACTGTACTGCAATGCCAAAATATTATGAAGGGATTACCACATTTGTCATAGTTCCAAAAAAACATTATTTAAAGGTTATCCTAAAAAAGAAAAACACAGTATGTAAGCATTTTTATCAGGTTCCATTTTTGGAAATGGAGGCAAAAGGAGGTACTGTAATTAGTTCCCTAACCACGAGAGTCTTTTAATCACAAATGAAATGTGGTGGACCTTGAGGGTCCATAAACCTTTTCCTGATAATGCAGTTTTTGTAATTCAACTGAATGCCGTTACAAGGCCCCAGGATAGAAGGACAGGTGTTGTTTATATTTGGATTCATGTTTCTCATGAAAGAAAGTTTTCATAGTCTTCGTGCATTGCATCCTGTCAGCTTAAGCCACTCCTAAACTATTATTTGCAATTGATTTACAAAGACAATATTAAAGACCTCAGATATATTATGTATATTTAATTTACTGTACATTGCTCTCCAAAAGTATTGACACAGCAAAGTGAGTATTGTTTTCACTTTCTGTAATCTTAGACTGGCCAAGTCAGAACATCCTAAGCACAGCAAAAGTCAGTGTGGGTCAGATTCAGGGAAGCATGGTAGGGAAGCACAAGGGTCCAAACTGAGTAGCATCAAGAAGTAATAAGCCAAGAGATGATCTGGGGACAAGGCCATAAATGCAAGCAGAGGTTGGGATTCCAAACAAGGCTTGCCTAGGGACAGAATAGGAGCAATCCTTAATTATCCTGAACCACCTGAAGCAGACAAGATAGTCAGTTGCCTCCAGGTGGTCCAGGTCTCCTGTCAGATAGGTATCCATGATAACAGGCACTGAGTGACAGGTGGGTGGAGAGAGGCCAGCTGCCATGTCACTGCTAGGTCGGCCTGCCGTGTACCAGCAGGAGAGAACATGACTGCATACGTGTGTAGAACAACAGCATGCTTAGGGTAATACCAAGTCATTTCACCCAGTAAATCAAGTAAATTTCAGAGTGGACAAGTCAGTATTTGGTTGCTTGTCTCTTTGAGACGATAAGTGCATATTACCCATGAGTTCAGCAATCTCTTTGTGTCATCATTTTAGATGTTGGTCTGTAGCCAGTTTGAGTGCTTGCCACTTAATAGAGTGTTTTGACTTCAGTTCTTATTTTTAAGTGGATCAGATCTAGAATGTGAATATAATATTAGATGTATTATTTAAAGTCTAGAGTTGAAATAGTCTCTATGACTGTACAGTACTTTATCTTCCTTGATGGGTATGAGTAATTACTCATGCTGAGCACAAGAACCACATGTTGCCTGTCCCAGTAGGTCTCACATAATTGCATGTTTGTAATGCAGTGCACAAAATACCACATGTAAAGAGATTTACAGTATTTTGCCTTCATCACATACATGTACATTATGTTCAGAGAGAATAATTGATTTTTCAATACTAATTAATTAAACAATTTAGGGAGGTAAACTCCTAATATAGCTTAATTTTCAATTTATAAGTTAAACGTCTAGGAAATATAATAACTTTCAACAGAGATAAGATCAGTTTAAGCAAAGTCAACAGGAGTTCATTTATTCCACTACAGATAAGGTGCTGTATCACAAGCTATACTATCTACTGTTTACATACTGTACAGTAGAGCCATTCTACAATAATAAGTAACACTGACATTAATTCTTTTTTTCTGTCTTAATTTCCATTGTCACTTGAAGAGAGTGGAACAGAATTTATCCTTACCGCTTGAAAACTGATCCAGAGTAATAATGGATACAGATATTTTTATATCGCTATATGTTTTACAAAGTAGAGCTCCTAGAATAATTGGCTTTAGCTCTCTGTGCCAATAAACCACTGTAAGGTCATAATCGGGATGGGAAAGGCAGAAAAAATGGAATTGCAAAAAATTTGGAGTTGTCCCTTGCCATTATCTGAATTTCTAACATGTCATTGTTGAGGCCAGGTTGTACTGGGTTTTTCAGTACTTTATACATTCATTACATAACAGAAAAGTGAAGACTTCGTGCTGGGCTATCCATTAGCTCTGTAATCTTGCTTCGCAAGCAGAAGGCTCTGACCTTTTTCCATTTCATTTTGCTGTGGTGTAGCAGTGAAAGTGCAGTCTCTAGTTCCATGCCAGTCCTGTTTCAACATGAAAGGTTGTTTAAACTGTCCCATGAGACTGATATGCCAGCACTATGATATTTCACTCATTGCCTTGTGTTAAGCTTCAAGGATATTCTCATTACTGATATAGGTTTTCATGTGATTTTACTTCTTAACAAATCATGCACAGGTGCATCTTTTAAATATGTTGTATATTTAATACTGTATGATCTGTTCTATCACTTTTTCAGAACCGTCATTCATGGATTTCTGTTGTTATATATTTGTTTACAAATTGAAGTGTGGTTAAAATTCTCTTTAAAATATTATTTTTGTTCTTCACAAATGCAATACTCCCCAGGAGAGCTGAAGTTTAAGATTAACCAGCTATCTTTGTTCTCAGTTTTAATTTTATGGGCAAAATACATGAAAGTTTAATAACTTAGTTTAAAATATTTAACAATACTGTTCAATAAATTACATGGGCTCAGTCTGTTCCTTTCAACATTTTTTAATTTTGTGTCTATCTTGTGACTTTTTTTCTGCATTTTCCATATTTTAAAGCACGGTTGGATTAAGAAATAAAATATAAATGTAGATTATAGCTAAATATTAACATTCTGTCATGCAATGCTATAACGTGCGTATTAGCTGCCAGGATGTATGTGTTGTGGTTTCAGATCAAAACCGTACTGTTTCTCCTCTTTCATTTTATTTTTTCCTCTTACCTTGTTATTGTGTCTGCTTATTGTGGGAATAGGATCAATAACAAGAGAGGAAGCCTGAACTTTCAAGGGGACTAGTTAATTAAATTGGTCTGACTGTTTCAAATGAAAATTAGCAGAGTGGAAAGTTGCACTTAGAATTCCTCTCACCAGCTACACTGCTCCCCGCCCACATCTTTCCCAGCATTAATCCTGAAGTACAGAACACATCAATGTAATCTGGCGTTCGTGAAATGCTGCAGAAATATAGAAATCTTCCATGTTTAGGTATATCGGAAACAGGATTATTTCAATGGCTGCTTTAATAGCACAGAATCACCTCCTTGTCTTTTTCATGTGCAGGTATGTTAAGACTTACCTTAACCCAGATAAATCCCGTCTAAGCAAGAGAAAGACATCGGTCAAGAAAAACACAGTAAACCCTGTTTTCCAGGAATCTCTGAAAGTAAGTCCAAAGGGTAATTACCAAACATTTACAATTACTAAATGTACATTTTAAGGTTACTTTACAACTACAAATAGAAAAGATCATTCTAATGACCTAGCTTTAAATGAATAGTACTAGGTTGAAGTAGTTCAGGTGGGTAGCTGCGTCAGCATGCGTAGTCTGCAAAGGAACAAGTAATAGGTTTATTCCATGTTGAAAAGAGAAGAAAGAAAACACAGCATTTCAGACACCTGAAGAAGGCTTCATAGCCGAAACGTTGCGTTTTCTCTCTTCTCTTTTCAGCATGGAATAAACCTATTACTTGTTCCCATGAATAGTACTATATACTTAAACTGTACTGTAAGATACCATCCCCCTATCCTAATTACTAATACCATTGTCTCACGATAGTTAGTCTTATAATTCATGTTTTCAATAGGTGCCAATATTCTGAGAATCAAAACTACTGTTTTGCACATCAGTGAATTTAGTGCTGAGTCATTGTAAGCACTAGCCCATTTTTACAAACAATTAGCTATGTCCACCTTGGGCTCATGGTGTAGGGAGCACATTGGAGAGCAGATTTGTATTTTCCATGAAGGCACAGAGAACCTTGGCCAGCAGTTCAAAGGTGACACTTAAGAAATGTCAAGACACAGCTCATATTGCTTAATCTCCATGTCCTTTGGAATATACTGTATGATGTTCTTCTTTGACTGTTTAATATAATTACTCTGAAAATCACCCTTCTCCATCAGGAGGGGGATGTGTTACTGTACGTGTAACCCAAATCAAAATGACAATTTCCTGCAGTGCACAAATCAGCCCAAAGATGTTTAATACACCAGGCAGTTTTCACTGGTTACTTATTCTAAAATATATTCAAGACATTTGTGAAGGACGCAGATTTTTTACAATTAAAATGGAAGTGAACAATGTATTTCTTTCTTATCAGGGTTCTGACAGGTCGACAAGGTCGACAAGCTCGACAAGCTCTAAAAACCTTCTAAAATTGATCTTCCAAAAAAGTGCTGGCCAATGGTGTGTAAACAGTCTGTGTCCCCTGTAGTCCAGGCTGGAGTCCCACCTTGCGTGTACTGTATTACTGTTTTTTTCTTAAGTTTCCTAGGAGATTTTAAAGCCCATAATCATTCATTTGTCCAGGAAAACACATTTTTTTTTGCTTTTTCAATGGGACAGGTCGGTAACATGGACTGATACCATGCCAATCTATGCATAAAGTCTTCAGTGTTGTGTTTTTTCTAAACAAGGTTCTGTGATGTAGTTATATGTGCTCACACTGGCATGACTCTGGAGATTGACGTTTACATTACACCAATTTCTTTCCAGTTTATTCAGGGCCTTTGACATATTAAGAATATTGCTTAGAGAGCCAGAAATTGCATTGTGTGTTCCTGATTCTGCCATTTTGTTTGTTTCCATCTCAAGGTATTTTCCATTAACTGATTAACTTGATTAATATTCTGGAGTACTCCTGTGCAGACCTGCTGAATGCTTCCTAAATCAATAATTTATCATTGTTGACTGAATAGTGCTGAAATGAACATTTTCTTCTTCACCAGTACAAGCTTGAGAAAGTGGAATTGCAGTCAAGGGTTTTAAATGTTTCCGTGTGGCACAATGACTCTCTGGGTCGAAACGCCTTCCTTGGAGAAGTTGAAATAGACCTGAAAACCTGGGATTGGAATCACGAGGCCCCAGCCTGGTACAACTTGCAACCAAAGGTAACACAACAACAAATAGACACAGCGCAGGGAGTATAGTAAGGCCCTATGAGGGATCGGGAAACAGCTAAAATCGCTACTGTATGTTGAGGAATGTGTTCTTATTTCTTTTGAATTTTAAACTTCTGTTGCTGCACGGTTGAGTGGTGCAGTGTAAAAATGGTAACTGTCTCCTCAGTAACACGACCTTCCAGTCCTCAAAAACACTTTGCATTGCCTGTTGCTCATAAAGCGTTGAGCAAGCAGGTACTGTACCCTGTCAGGTGAAATATCTGTGTTGGAGTTGTTGGGATTTGGAAGATGTATTACTGTTTAGAACACTAAAGGAAATATAAAATGATTAACTCTTATGTGTGTAATTACTTGAAAATGTAGATCAATAATGCTGCTTATCTTTATTATTAAATGGCAGTGAAGTTATGCCTCTTAAATGTACATTTAATTTGACTCTTATTTTGGTCTCTTTATTACTTCTGTATACATCTGTGCTATAAACAATAATGCACATTTCAGTAAAATTAAGGCTTAGAAATCCTGGCTCAAAAAAGTAATATTGTGCATACGTATTTTATTTTTTTAAAACAAATACAGGTTGCAATGCTTATCATTATTTAAAGTCTTGATAATAACCATTTATTCAATGGGAATTATTGATTTAGGGGAAAAATGTCTAGAAAATAACATAATTATTGAAGTTTTACTGTATAGTTTTACATATTAGTGTTTTGTCTTTATCAAAAGTGTTTTATTGTTTGAATATTCATTATTTAATTGAATACAGCCAAAAAAACACTGTAAACACATGCATGAGACAAGTCCAGTCTGTCAGCCTACATCACTGAGCAATAGGAAATGTAGCAAAGGAGGGAAAGGGAGAGAGAAGAGATGTTTTATTTGAAAAGTTTTTTTAACCTAAAGAGACATTTATAGAATAGAGATGTGAATTGATTTACCACATAGGTAAGCAATATAAGATGTAGCACTGGAAAACTGAGGGGTGTGAAAAGACGAAGAAGGGAGGTGGGGGAGAGTTTGACATTTTAACAACTTTTAAAGTAAAGTGTTTTAAATTGAAAACATTATTAACCTAAATAATGTTCATAGAACTATTGCTGAAACGGTCTTTTACACTGACTTGCCCTGCTGCACGGAGGAGCCGTGCTATAGGTACAGTACGTCCGGCTCGTGGACTTGTCTGTGCTTTGACATTGCACCGCGGAAATTCCTCACACAGCCCCGACCCCGGCAGGAACGCGTTTGTTCAGTATTGCTCTGAATTTTCATATTCCTGCAGTGGGGGAAAAAAGAAGTTAATGTAGCTGTCAAGTTTTGTCCCCCTCAGTTTAAGTCTGTTTTTAGCCTGAATCTGTTTGCTTTGTGGTCTTCAGTGAGCTCTCATGGGGCTCTCTGCTGCGTTTCTCAATGGTTCAGCTCGAACCCTTGGCCAGGGTGTCGGCTGCTGAATTCTTCAGGATTTAAAATGCCTCATCAGGAGTGTTGCTTCATTCAAAAGAATCTGAACAGAACAGAGTTAGGTTAAAGCACCTTTACTTTTTTGGAATCTCCTTGTATAAGATAAAGCTATTTAGCCTATATAATACTACAGTGATTAAAATGAGTATTTCAGTATTAAAGAAACTCACTTATGTGATGAGGTTGTCAAGCCCTACCTGACAGATTTTCAAATGGTTATTGTTCTGTAAAGTGAGAACGCCACCTTGAAAGGTGTTGTATAAAATTACATTTATTGTTATTATATTTTAATTGAGATTTTATCAATTTTTTAGTTCTTTATTTTTTTACCTTTGTCTGTGAAATGTTCTTTCATGTGTGCATTTTATTCTCAAAGAGCCCTGAGGACCAGGAACCCAAAGGCAGCAGAGGACAACTAATTGTGGCACTGAAGTATGTCCCAGCTGGATCTATAGGTAATTTAGTGCAGCCTTCCTGCTGTGGTTACCGTTAACGTGACGTGATTTCATGTTGGGCACAACAGGCTTGTGTACTTGTGTTCTGTTGTCATGAACAGATACATTAAAGGTTAGTGGCATAAAAAAGGGTGTCATTAAGCATGAAGGAAATCCTCATTTCACCATATAGAAAGAAATGTTGACCTGAGGTATAATGCTCATTGGTATTGTGTGGATGTCTCAATTCAAAAGAAAACAAAATCACAACCAGACTTACAAATGTGTGGTGATAGTCTACAGAAACAGTGCATGCTGGGGAGAGTTCCACAAAGAACAACACATTTCTAAAAATGAGCAATTTGATAGTTTTGCATCATATTCTTCTTTCCTGAAAAGCAAAAGGAGCAAAGCGGTATCTCTTTAAAATGAGATATCTCACTACATATCTACAGGTCACTCTATGGAGACGTTTTAGATTTACATTTACTGGAATTCAAGTAGCTTGAAAGGCATTTAAGTACGTCTTCAGGCTTCACGGCTCTCTTGCAGTTCGCTGAGTGTATGGCAGCGAGGGCTGTGGGACGCCTGTCAGTGATATTTACCGAGTCTGAGGCCTGGTGTTCTGTTGTTATGTTGTACTGACTGACTGAACCGTGCAGCCTCTTGTTGTGTAAAAACCCATCTACCCCCGGGCTGTGCACAGCACATTGGATTCATAGAGGTGCCTCAGGAATTCTGGTCAGACTTCAGGGTAATCAATAATAATGTAAGCAAACAAAATAACTACTGTCCTTATTGTTTAGATGAAATAATTGTCTTGAATCTCAGTCTCTAAAAGGGATTTTTTTTGTTCATAACTGAAACAGTTAAATTAGGAATAAGGAATGTTATGACATGCTTTCAGAATTGATGTCTATTGTAAATAAAAAAAACACAATTTGGATCCTCAAAGATGTCCACAAACATATGTAAATACAAATTACTATAAAGCTTTCATTGTCATTGTTACACTTTATATTTTAGACTTTTTTAACTTTAGTATTGGTTATTTAGAATCAAAATTGTTGGAGATCTTAATTTCTAAAATGTTACTGCAGATGGTACCAAACCTTTCACTGGGGAACTTCACATCTGGCTGAAAGAAGCAAGAAATTTGCAAAAAGTTAAACCCAGTGGCGTGGACTCATTTGTGAAGTGGTAAGAAAAAGACCTTTATATGCAGATCTTAATCATATCGATTTTGGAGTCGTTTGTCACTCTCAAGGCTGTGCAGGTCCATTGTGTTTTCTTTTATTCGGTGTAAAAGTCTCTTAGGGGTTGTAGTGTGCCACTGTCTATGATGCAGTGTACAGCACTTTGTATACTACTTTTAGACTTTTATAAAGCAGCTCTTTGCTGGTAGTACTTGCAGTAAAAACCTGCAGTGTTGCTGATCGGAATCATCTATTGAAGAAAGAGGGAGAAGATCGTCACGTACTGTAATATCCTGTGTGTAGGAAACACTATAATTTGTAAACACGGCATTGTGGTATTTTCAATGTTAGAATTTTAATGGTGGAAGTTCTGAATTCTGAGGTTTATGTTGACATGCCTGGGAAATTCTGAAACCCATTCTCATTTTTCTGAAACACTTTTAAAGCCAAATTTTAACAACAGTGTAATATTTCTGGCAATAATGCAATTACCTTATGTCTGTTAAAATCTAATAAGAAATTTGTTATGTTTTCATTTAATTCATTTATTTTCATCATTGTAATAATGATATGGTAAAGTAAACTGTATAAGGTCCACTGCATTTAATCTAATTTTTCAACAATATCAATTTCATCAACTGATCTATAGGATATAAAATTGTACAAAAGACGTGTTACTTGGGGCAATATAAATTATTCTCCAATCATAGAGCACAGAGCTTAATTTAAAATTAATATTATCTAAGAAATATTCTTGACAATTTAAAACTGTATACTATAGCGGCTGTCTTTATATTATATATTGGAATATATATTCCCCCCAAAATTCATTCGGTTTACAAAGTCCATTTTCTTTTCTGTGTTTTATTTTTTAAAGCAAACCTGCAAAACCCCCTTATTGTTTCTTGCTTCAGTTACATCTTACCAGACACGAGCAAGAAGAACAGGCAGAAGACCCGAGTGGTGAAGAAGACTCTGCACCCTGTTTACAATCACACCATGGTGTACGATGGCTTCCGGCACGAGGAAATCAAAGAAGCCTGCTGTGAGCTCACACTCTGGGACCACGACACCTTCACAAACCAGTTTCTCGGAGGTGTTCATCTCAGCCTCGGAACAGGTACGTTCTTTCGCATTGTTGTGTGCCCAGACTATGATGGCACAGCAGGCTTCATGTTTTCAATACAGTGCCCTCCAGTGGTATAGTGACAACTGTTATTTTTCTTTTACAGTCATGCATTTTGTTTTGTGATCAGCAGATTAACATGCAGTTTATTTATGGGGTGATTCCATGCATAAATTAAATTGTATTAGAACAAATACATAGTTTGTGTTCAACCCCATGATTTCAAGTGATCATAAGTAATTGGACCCACTCCTAGTGTAAAAGTCAGTATTTGGTTGCATTGAGGCCATAAATGTATGGCTTAATCTCGGTAAGATCAATAAACTCTTTATATAAACAATTTAGATGCTTTCCTGCAGCCATCACGGATTCATGCCTGTTCTTGAGGTGGTTTAATTTTTAAGTTTAAGGTTTGAGTTTTGACTTAGTTTTGTAAAGATTCTCATCTCATTGTCTAACCACTTACTCCCAGTGAGGATCGCCGTGGTAACAGGCAGAGCAGGGCAGACCACACCTCTCTTTCCCAGCAGCAGTCTCCAGCTCCTCCTGGGGGACTCCCAGGTGCTCTCAGGCAGCTCAGAGATGTACTCCCTCCAGCCTGTCCTGGGCCTGCTCCTGGGTCTCTTCTCAGTGAGCTGTGCCTGGTACACCTCCTGGGGAAGGTGTTTAGGAGACATCCAAACCAGATGCCAGATGCCACCTCAACTGGCTCCTCTCAATCCAGACCAGCAGCCACTGTACTTTAAGGCTCTCCTGGTTTGCCAAGCTCCTTACCCCATAAGTAAGCGCCCAGCGGCTCTATGAAGAAACCTCATTTATGCAGCTTCTGCTAGCGACCTCATTCTTTTGGTCACTACCCAAATGACTGTGGGTGAGGATGGAGACATGCTGTACATAAACTGGAAAACAGAGCTTTGTCTGAAAACTCAGCTCCTGCTTCACCACCACAGTTTGGTACAGTGTCGACATTACTATAGCCTCTGCATCAATCTCAAGATCCCCTCTGTCCTTGCTCAAGAACAAGACACTGAGGCACTTAACGTCCTCCCCCTGGGGCAGCTGTTCCCCGCTCACACCATATTTAAGTTTGCACCTTAACACGGCTCCACGGCCGAAACGTTGTGTTTCCTTTCTAATCTTTTCAACATGGAATAAACCTTTACTTGTTCCTTTGCAGCCTACGCATGCTGATGTAGCTCCCTACTTGAAATATTTTTGTGTTTCTGAATACTGTTTTTAACAAAGGTATTCAGCAACTCTAAATCTTTAGTTAACACTTGTAATGATGTTTTGCTATAAAATAGTCACAGTCACAATTTCACAGATAGACTAATCAAACAAAAGAGCAAAATGTGTTAAATGATTGTCTCTTATGTATGTCTCTTCTAATGCTCATTTCCACGAGGAATCACAATGCCCAAGAATTAAAAGTATTGAAAACTGTTTGAGTGCTGAGGGCCATTCTCCTGGGCTGGGACTCCCTGCAGAGTGAGGTCTGACCAAGAGACAGCTTTGCAGGAGCAGTCGGGGTGGAAGATTTATAGATTTTAAATCTAGGAATTATTACAAGTTAAGACTACGGAGGTAAATTGAACTTGGCTGCTCTCATTCCTCCCGAATGTCTATTGTAAACTCCATATGTCCTGAATTAATCTCGGTCTATAACATGGAATAAAAAGAAAAATGTTAAAATGAAAAATTGGATGCATTTTCAAATCTATCTTCAGTCTTCAACAAGTCTAATCCTTTTGAGGAAAAGGACTTCAGTCGTGGTCAGAGTTTGTAATAAATCATCACATCAAAAACAAATTACAGTACCAAATACCTGGTAAAACACAACAATAATAACATTGAAAACAAAATGAATAGTAATGTTACAGAAGCATGTGTAATTATATTGAAGTACAGCTATGAAAATAAAATGTATATCACTGTAGATCATTGCCCTTTGCATACACTATTGAAATTGGCATCATAATAAAATCAAGGGTTTGCAGAAGTCTACACTACTTCTAGCAGTTTTCATAGACTGCTAGAATAAAAACAATTGAAGTGCACTATACATTAACAAGATATTTAGCACCATGAATGGGTTAATCCTGACTGCTTGTAACAGTGTATGCAGTTTTTGTCTGCAGAATGTGGGGGTGTTTGAAAAGCTGTAAGCCATTTACTTGAATGTTCCTCTGAAATGTAGGTTAAATGTTTAGATTGACATTGTAGTTCTGACACTGCGTGTACATGTAGTATGCTCCCTGACTCCCCTTTTCTTTGAGAATCACTGTTTGCAGTGTGCAGGACACCCTGATAGAAAATACTAATTTGTTAAGTGCAAGCAGACCTAAAACCCACCTTTTTTAATCATTTTGTGAGCCATAATGTTTTTTCATCACTGCTTCTTGCAAGAATGGAAACACCTGTTCCAGCGCTGAACGGGGTCTCCAGTGTCGAGCTATCTCTGCTTTTCACGGGGCAGTAGAACAGAAACAGCTGGGATACGGTGCCAGTGGCAGGGCTGGCCCAGAAGGCACTTCAGCCACATGAATGTGCAGGTGCCCAGCCCGATTTATGGGCAGACTTTTATGCAGTGAAATGAGAATTCCTCTGTGATCACTCCCCTGGCCAATTTCAGATGCTGCTGGCAAAATTAAAATCCCCTCCACAAAAGCTTTCCAGATTGTAGTATAAAGCCCCCACTTCCAAGCAGTGTTGTACCAGATGAGGCACTGGGAACTACTAACCTTGCATTTTAAAGCATGCCACAACCGAATTGACTGGAAAATTGGGTATAACAAAATATGAAAATATTTATGTCTAAATGCAGTTGTAAATCAGTTGCATTATGTTACCAAGGCCAGTAGCAGACAAGGAAATGGAAGAAAGAAAGAAAAGGAGTAAGAACAATACTGTGGTGGTAATTACAGGAGATTCTAAGTAAAATTAATCCTTCTGAAAAGGCCATTAAGGAAGAAAGGTTGAAGCAGATGAGTCTTCATTAAATGTTCCAGAAATTATAATGAGTTGTTTAAGAGACATATTTTTAACTCTGTACGCTCATTTCAGCTAGATATCAATAGTGCTTGTATGTGTAAATACTGTTAAGGTTTATTCCACGCTAAAAAGAGAAGAAAATAAATGCGTTTCGGCTGTGGAGCCTTCTTCAGATGTGAAGGCAAAATGGGTTTTCTTCTCTTGTCAGCAGGAATAAACCTTTACTTGTTCCTTTGCAGCCTGCACATGCTGACACAGCTCCCTGCTTGAATTGGTGTAAATCCAGTGCCTTGCAAAACTATTCACTCCCTTTCAGTGATGTTTCATTTCACTGAATTCCAAATAATCTACATTTTTAAGTGAATATTTTTATTAAAACCTGAATGATCAAATTGAGCAATTCAAAGGTACTCTGCAAAGATATTTTAGTCCTTGATATTTCAGTACAGTTTTTACCTATTTGTTCAGTTTTCATGTATTTAAGCATTCAAATTTTATTTTTTTAAAAAATGCTTGATTTGTGATTTAATTCAACAACATTGGACATCACTGGGAGTGAATACTGTGTATGTTCATTTTGTGAGCTATGGTATTAGATTGGGGCCATTGATACTTCTGTGTGATTTAAAGATTTATGAGGAGTTTGCAGTTCTTAGATCATCTTTGGCTACACTGGCTAGTCTGCCATGTACTGCACTGGTTTACATGGGTTACTGGTATCCACACGTGTTCCTAGTATAAAATGTTAATCAGCTCATACCAATAATTTGCATTTCTTAGCCCTGTAAGTAACCAATACGGGGCATGATTAGAATGGGCAGTTACTCTCAAAATGACATACCACGCTACCGTGAAAATATTTGATTAAGTTCTTTAGACCTCTAAATTTAACTACAGTACGTAATACCAGCACCAACAAGTGTGGGGTTTTAGTGCATGAGTTCACACTGTATATCAAGAGTAAACTACATGTTGCTTTATACTGTGTATTTCCATGCATCATAGACACAACTGATGGTCACACTGAGCAGATGTACTGTAGCACCTTTAGTTTGCTGTAGTTGTCCAGAGGAGCTTGTGTCCCCATAGTCCCATTTATATGTGTATGGAATTGAATTGCAACTTAGAGCACAACATTGTACAGTGGTTGAAAATCTAGTTTTCTACACATCCTGCACCCGTATTAGTCTGTTCAATTAAAAAATGGTTATGGAAATCCCTTACTTTCAAAACTATTTCAGAAAAAAATAATCATGCCATTCATTATATGAGCTGTAGGTTGTTAGTTTGAAGTGTGGAACTGTTTACTAATGTAGGCTTGTCATAATCGCTCATTTTAAAAAGCTTTGAAGATGGATGAACCCACACTTTAAGGGAGAACTTCCCTGATGAAGAGAATTTTTTTTTTATTATAAACTGAATTAATTTTATTCACACTAAGGGCTTTGAAAGATATAAGATTTCTAACAAAAAATAGTAGTGTGCACTTCAGTAATTATATTACTTAATCTTGTTTCATGCAAACTGTTATAAACAAATATAAATGAAGGTCACCCAGAAAGTGATGCCCAAAATTAAAAGAAAATCCCACAGGAAAATGATTGTTTGCAATTATGCAAAAATAATGAACTTTCATTTTGTTTATTAAATGATTATCCAAGCTATGTGGAAAAGGGTACAGAATGTAGCGACACCCTGTACGGCTAAGGTTGTTGGACATTTATTCCAAAATTGTCATTTAATATTCATTAACACAAAATGCATCTTTCAAGAACCACAAGTCTGGAGAACATGTGATATTTGTAAGACTCAAAATCTATGATCTAGATCTTGAAAACCCCAAGACCCCAACTGGTACCAGTTGCAAGGTGGAATAATGAAGCTATCGTTTCTTTGGAGGCTAAATGATTTCTGTTTATTTTTCACTGTAGGTAAAAGTTATGGAAAGACTGTGGATTGGATGGACTCCATAGACAAGGAAGTTGAACTCTGGAAAAATATGTTGTTAAGTCCTGGTGAGTGGGTGGAGGAAGAGCTGTCCCTTCGGCAATCCATGGCCAAAAGAAAGTAGCTTCACTATCGTTTATTTTTTTCCTGTTTTCATTTAAATCACTGCTTCACTGGAATGTTGACATTTAATGTCATGAAAATAATTGTGATTGTTAAGGTAGAAAGTAGCTAGTTGTTGTACTAAAATCTAAAGAGCAAATTTACAATAGCAATGTTTATATCCACATTTTCCACGTAATAAAAGTTTTTCACAGCACTTTGTACCTTTATGTTGGCTTTTTTCCTTTGAGTGGAGTTGTGTTGTGTGGGAAGTGAGATGGATGTTCAAGAGACAGGATTCTGAAAAGGCTCCGGGCTCATGGCTGAAGATGAGAAAGAGACCCAGGCTATCAGTGTGGCAGGAACCATGAGTACACAAAAAGGCAGCATGTCAGAAGACATGGTTTATTTCATTGGTGGCAGATATGTGGGAACAATTATAAAGTATATTATTTTAAATGAATGGCTGTTATGCAAACCATATTCTGTTAATCACAATGACACACAATGCTGGACCACACTTTTACATCTTTTGATACTAAATGTAGTCAATAAGTTAAACTACTTTATGAAAAACATACATTAATATACAGTACATATTTAAAATGTAAGGTCAACCTACAGTTACAGGTCAGACACTATAGCACTATAGCATTCTCACATTGTACCCTCTGAAGCTAAAAATGAGTGTTTTTGATGCAAACTAGAACCATTTTTGACCTAGTTTATTTCCTTGTGCATATTGAAAACACTTTCAGTAGAGGGTGTCAGTTATTTTTGCATTCATTCTTTTTCAAAGATGCTACCTTGTTTCAAATTTTCTTTTTCAGTTTGAATCTAATAACTCAGTTTATATAGAGTACAGCAGGGAATGATTAGCTAATTGCATTGTTTCTAAGAATACTATTTTGTTGATGAATGCTGTCCATAGAGCAATGAAGCCACTTCTCAATAAAAAGTTACTTTCAAAATTAGAATAAGTATTAAATAATTCATAAAATGTAGTTACAGTACTTCCTTTTATACCCTTTCAAAACCTGAATCAATGCATTTTAATCACCATATTTTCATACTCTGCCATTTTATTCATGCACTACTATAAATACAAGTTCTAATGCACTAATTATTCTAAAATACGTTTAAACTACAAAGAAGAAATGGGTCTTTTTACTTTCATTTATATACAGAACAATCCAGCAGGGCCAGTGTTGCAAAATAGGCTGAGCAGTGGTCAGAGTAGGTCCGTTTTCTGAAATGATGGCACTGCCGCAAAGCACTCTGATATATCAGGTGCAATTTATTTATGGTGCTCCTCTTCCCAACAAGAAAAATGAAAAAAAAAAGGTTTACCTTCTGAAAGTTCTGAAATCAGGAATGAAACCACCACAAAACCAGTTAGAACTCTGTACACATACTTCGACACTCCAGAACATTCCACGGTCTCCAACACACCCACCTACCCACCAACCCACCGGCCCCCTACTGGCCTGAGGAGCAGCTTATATTGTGTGTAAGCCCCTCCCCCTGGAATGGAATCATGTTACATTATCTTTTTACATACAAAATCGTTCACAATTCTGAAGTTCATTCAGTCTATTCACAAAGGAAAGAGAAAAACCGATATATCCCAAACATGTTACCACTTTTTTTTACCCTTTTCATATAGAAAACAAAAATGGAATTACCCCCCTTTACACATGCATGTGGCTCTTCCCATTACACTATAAATAAACCTCAAACTGGGGATAAGGTTTGGCCCTTCGAAACCACCATAGGCTGGCATACCTGGAAGTCTCGAACAACAGACAGACACAGTATCATTCAGTGAGAGCGCTCTCCATTCACACAACAGCAACACAAAACAAAACGAATGGACAATTACCATGTATGCATCTGGTAATTAACAAATAACTTATAACAGCAGTCACCAGTCGAACCCAATGTGCACCTTCAGGAAATAGCTAGCAACTGGTCTGCAGAAAGGGTGTGATCCGACTCCTCTGTCACAGCCAGGTTTGCATAATTAGTGTTCAAGAGCAAGAGGCAAATGTTGTTCTCCTGTGCTGGTGAGGCTTGGTTGAACCAGGAGAGTGGAATTAGACCAAAAATAGTGCTCAGTGCAGACAGAGAGCAATGAGCTGTAACATTAATCATTGCAGCATTAATCAACAGGTTGTGTGTGCTGCGGCCAGCCGCTCCAGACACCCAGAAATCTCCAACTGGGTGACCGATTCATTGGCCAGCAGAACAGTGACCTGAAGTACAAAGCCAGAAGCAGGGTGGCCAACAAACCAGCAGAAGTGACCAAAAATGGGCAAAACAAAAACCAATTATTGTGCACAACTGCCAGAGACCTATCCAACAAAGACGCATAGCCGTATTTGCTGACAAAATTGCATCCGTCATGTGTTGTCTTAGGGACCTGAATACTTTCACTTTGTATATCTACTGTATTAAAGCTGGCATTTGTTTTTCCTTACATTCAACCTTCTCAATTAAAAAAAGTCAATTTGAAGACAATAAGTATTAATTGCAATATATCAAAATATGACAATACAAAACAGTGCTTATAACTTCAACAAAGTTATGTTTTTTTTTTTAATCAGGAAAATTATTTTTGTTGCTGGCATTGTAGTGAGCTCATTGTGCTGATTAACACTGGCCATCAATACAGCTGAGCAACCTGGGGAAACTAGGTGACAGTCAGGGGATACTAGCATACAGAGCCATTTGTGATATGGAGACAATACAAGGTGTGTATCTAACAATACTGCTTTGCTTTAGGTTATGAAGTCTTGTACTTTTCCTGTCATACAGCCTGTACAAACATGTTCTTTTTCCACGGTCAGACCAAGATGACAAGTATTGTAACAGCTCATCCCACAAACGCTCACTGGGGCTCAAGCCAGGCAAGCATGGCATCTACAGCTAGCTGCTCCCCAGCTTGGAACAGACCTGTTGTTACACAAACAGCATGAAGACCTGTGCTCTCCTATTGAAATGTTGCCATGTCTGGATGAGCCCACAGGTAACACAGGATCTGATCATTGTTGCACCTTGCAGTTAGAAGCTAGGTGCCACACCACCATAGCTTACCCTGTAAATGTTCAATGGGGCTTAGATCTACCAAGCACAGCACTCCCATCAAAACATTAATACCAATAAACCAACACTGCAAGTAAGACAGAGAGTCACCGTTATGAACATCATGAAGATGTGCATTGATGACATCTATTAATCCTATTAACTTTTCAGTTTGATATTCTTCATGTCTGTCAAAACCATTGTCCTGTACTTCTGCTCCAGGCTCTCCATGTATTCCAAGTAATTGCTGATGCTGAAACCATGGATGGGTTCTTCCTGTTAAAATAAGAAAGAATACAAATAAAGAAGAGTTCTTAACGTTGTGGCTGTCAAAAAAGAAGGCATATGAAGAGAAGTGGCATTGTTTTGGTGTCATAAAACATTACACTCACCACCTTAATATTTCATGTTAAAAACAGTGTTAATGCTAATTTGATGGGAAAAAACACAGAAAGAAAATGTCATTAATGGTGTAGGCAATTATGGAAAGATTAACTTAATTTTAAAGTAATAATTTTCTTTAATTAGGGAGAAGAAAGATCTACCTCCCAGGCAGGTAATTATTTCAGAAAACATTTTTTTCTGTGCCACTTAAGATAGCAGTTGACAACACACTTTTGCACTAGTATTATTCTGTATTGCCATAAAATTAATATCAAACTAATAAAACCTCCTTCAGAGAATCTTTTGATGTTACAACATGCATGGACATGTTATTCCTTAAGCATACTGGCAGCCTCCTTAGTATCCAGTGTGCAACAAGTAAATCCCTTTTCTGTCTTGACACTACAAATGTATTCCCAAAAATGCAAAAATATCTCTGAAATTGTCAGTGCATAAAATCAAACATTACTTTGCATTAGAAAATGCATCACCTTACTCTTTTACATTATCTGCCTGCAGCAATTTTTTCAGATGTCATATTTTTATCCTTACTGAACGGAAATGACTTACTGTACTTCCCCTTCACACAAACCACTTTTTTATTCTTTATCATTTAGGTCAGCTTAAGTGCACTACATTTATGTTAAGTTTAATATTGGCTATTTATTGATGTGTTTCATAGTCACTCTGTGCTTATTTTTGAATGATCCTTGAAAGATTTAAAAACCAATGTGTTATGTTCCCCTACTGTATGTTCTGCAAAATGCTGCATTCCCAACAGTGTGCATTTGCATTTAGCTGTTTAAGAACATAAGAAATATTACCAATAAGAGGAGGATATTTGGCTCATCTAGCTCATTTTGTTTAAACAAAAGACTTGCAAAATAGATTTTTATTTGAATAGAAATCAATATTTTACCTTTTGCTAGGTACAGTAATAAAAGGTCACAAACAGTAAAACCAAATGTTATCTTTATCTAGCTGCTGTAACGTATTTTCAAAACACACGAGGTTAGGACTTGAGCAGCAGCCCACAGAATAGTATGACTGCAGTAAAGAACAAGGAAGTAAGGATTGTTATTGTAAAAACAAAAACTGCAATATCTTCTATTAAAACAACAGATGATTTATGGTCAACTTTAAATGCATCCCTGCCTCCAGATTTTTACTTCTGCACAGTACACACAAATGCCTTTATTGCTCATTTCTATCAAAGTAGACACTAATTAAGATTGTTAGACTATATTTTTCTGTAAACTGGATAACAATCCAGCAGTGGTGCTACCTGGAGAAATGGATCTAATTATTTTAATAAAAGTAATGTGCAAGTCACATTTTCATGCAATGCACAGTATAAAAGTTTATCCATATTAAAATATGTGAAAAATGAGCCATTTAAGGATAAAACATAGGCTCACAATACAAAGTGAAGCATACTGATTGTGCCCTGCGAAACTAAACATTGCATGTTATATTTTCCAGCAGCCAAGAAACTGTGCTCCAGTGATCTTCAAAATAACATTTTTAACCAATTTAAATACACAACAGAAGACTGCTTCCATTTCTGTTGATTTAAAATCGCATGTGCATTCAATCATGTTGTCAGAGACAGAGTAAAAAAACAACATCTCCCTAATGTGTTGTGTTAATATTTATTACAAATACATATTTTTAAACTATTTTCTTGCTTAATGTAAAATGCTCTCTACTGTTCATTTTTTCTTCCCTAGTTTATTCTGGTTCTGATTGCAGTTTCACAAAGCCTAATGTGATTAAATGCAGCCCATTAAACAACTGCAGCAATACTGCATAGCACCCTGACTGCCTCGATTTCAAAGAGGAATGAATATTGAATTAAGCTTTTAAACAGAGAAACTGGAAAAATAAATCACAAGCTGTAGATATAGAAATATACAAGTCCCTTTGCATTTCCAGACATCAGAAGCAGATTATATGGAACAATAAAAAGCCGTTCAGTAAGTGTTAAGCAACAGTCCTCAGAACATAGTCTCTCCGTTTAAGTGAAAAGCTCTAAAAGTATTGTGCAGTGACTGAATTTCTTTTGAAATCTGATGACAAATTAATTCTGACTTGTTTCATGGAGTCTAATATCTGTACCAAAGTAAATGCACTCAATTTTGTATTTCTACTGCACTTGCAAAACTTTTGAAGCACTGTTTAGTAATTACTTCTTTGCTGGAAGTTTGTTTTTAAATTCCATTTAAATTTGTCATTAATGCAAAATGACAATAAACCCACAGTACATACAGTGCCAATGCAAAACCTGGCAATGATGGAATACGGCAGGAGTGGCCAAACTATGAGTCTCGCGACAAGTTCAAGTTGTTTCCTACTGGGAAACACTGTTGTCAAAGGGAAAAATAATCAAGCAAAAAAGTATAGATAAGAAAACCTGCAGTATTATCAACATCATTATTGTCTTCTTTTACTTATTTAGTTCAGGTAGGTAGCTGCGTCAGCATGCGTAGGCTGCAAAGGAACAAGTAATAGGTTTATTCCATGCTGAAAAGAGAAGAAACAAAACACAACGTTTCGGCCATAGAGCCTTCGTCAGGTCCTGAAACGTTGTTTTCTTTCTTCTCTTTTCAGCATGGAATAAACCTGTTACTTTTAGTTATTTATATTGTTATGGCTCACTCCTCTCCCTTCAACTTCTAACATGAAGTCTCACACACTCTCCCAGGTGGGTGGTAGATGAAGTTGGCCTTCTTTAACATGTTAAGTGCTCTAAGATCATTGTGGTGAAGACCGCTATACAAATGCAAGTAATTGCATTCTTTTTGATTATTATTATTGTTCTTTTTATTGTATGAATAATTGAAAGGATGGGAAAACAACACTTTATTAAATTAGTTTGAATATTTCTCATACAGATGATCATGAAACTAAAAATGTTAAATCTTCTTACAGGGCACATGATACACAACACTGTGCAGAGATTTTCCTTGTTTTTCCATTCATTTATTAGCATGCAATTCATAACTGAAATGCTTAAGGTGTTTACAATTCATTTACATTTCAATTGTATTGTATCACAATCTACTCACCTGATTCAATTTTTAGGATGTTAATATATATTTATATATATTTTACTTTCTATGATTGTTTCTTAGTTCTTTTATCTTTTTATACCTTATTATATACAGTATTCTAATATAACACCTATTGTATATAACATCACAATAAGGAAATATAAGGAACTGGATTACAGGATTTATGTAGTCAAGTGCACTTAACACTGTGCATAGTCATACTATAAATTAAGGTAGACCTGAACTAATTTTAGTAGTTTTTTAAAACTTTGATGTGAAAACGGAAAAAAAAAAAATTCTTTAAAGTAATATCAATCATGATGTCTGTACTACTATGTCTGTTATCTCCAGAATAGCTAAGGTTCTTTTTGAATGGTGGCTTTTTACTATATAAAGCAATCCGTCTAAGGATATGAATAATTTCTCACATATTACTTACATTTTAAGAACTGTATATAATACTAGATATTGACTTTTGGACTATTTTTGTTACAAAACAGTTATACCTATATATGCTACTGGTCGAAAGGCACAGCAACTATCCTACAAGTCTCTGATATTACTTTCAAGAAATTTGTTTGTTTTTTGTTTTAAAATAAAATTTGGCTTTGACACTATTGTGTCCTTAATGAAACCATAATTGGTTTGATTTAGTTTTCAGTTTTAACTTCACTTCAGTGTGGGGGTGTAGAAAAATGCATACAAATCTTTTCTAATTCTTTCAATTATTGTGTAAAATATTCCATAACTACCTGACATTGGAAATGTATACAACATTTTTGTAGTTTAGTGCATCTAAATTATACAATCATTGAGAAGGTAAATTTGATAACACTTACACTGATGGATGATTTATTTTAGTGTATTTGTTTTGTTACAATGGTATGAAGCTAAACTGACACTTGACGATATATACAAGGTGACAAGTATATTAAATATTACTATTAAAAGATATTTCAGTTATTATTCTCTGTAAATATATTGATACCATGCTACTTCCATTACCACAGATGACCGAAAAGCTGAAACTGATAAATCAGTCACTTGTTCGGTGATGGCACACAAGACTGAAGCTAAAATCACAATTTCTCATCAGAACGACAGGATTCTAAAACTGCACATTTGTGCACCTTCACCTGAACCAACAGATTAACACATGTGGTAGAATCCTGAGAAGCATGCAATGCAGAACTGGACTACAGCAAGGGAATGGATGGAAGGAAGGCAGGAAGACTCAGGTTTTCAATTGGCACAATGAAATTAAAACTTTTACTCAATACACTCGATAAGAAAAATAAATGTTATCTTTTAATCAGATTATTAGGCATCCATTTTCAATGACTGCTTAGTGCATCAGGGCTGCCATGAGCCAGAACATAGCACTGGCTATGACAGGCAACTGGTGCAATGCAGCATACAGGATGCCATTCCATCATTTTTTTGATGCCAGTTCACCAAGACAGTATATTTCTGGGCCGAGGGAGGAAATGTGAGCACCAGCGCAGCAGGGCGAGAATGCTAACACAAGGATCCCTATATCAGAATTGAATCTATGACCCAATCTTCAATAAGGCACCAAATGTTTTTCTTAGAAAACAGCAAGAACGTTCATTCCGCTTACAATACTTTCTTATAACTACTCCAACAACTCCATTACTACAAAGCATTACCTTCGACAAGTACTGCATAAAATAAAAAAAAATCACGACAGCCTTACTTTCAAAAACACCTGAAGGTCCTGGACCTGAGTGTGCTGAAGGATCTCCTCCTCTAGGTGTTTTAGAACAGCGATGCAAATGTAGGTCTGGTAATCAGGACCCATGACAATGCAGGTACAGATGTAATGGCAGATTTCTGGCCAGTCCAGGTAGTTCCAAAAGCATTGTCCCAACCACTGCAGACATATCTGAAAAATAAACACCACATGTTATCGTTCTGGAAGAACTCACAGATTGTTGTGGACGTTTTAAATTAAGATTTACATCTGCGTATATACACATTGGAGTCTGGAGTCTTCTGTGACCTTTTTTCAGTTCTGATGTCTGTATTTGCTATAGCTCTAGCTGTTTGAAATTGGTTGTAATGGCATTAAAGATGAGTGTTCTTGTCCAGTCTTGATAATGTCTTAAATTGGTCAACAGATGAGAAATAGTTGATTAACCACTCAGCTACTGTAATATTCCAACATTCACCATCCTATTGTCAATTATGGCAATCTTGGAGATTGCTAAAAACCAGTAGGACACAATGTATTGTTTGTATAGGCTTGGAATATACACAACGCACTTATATCATTCCATACTTGCTCTAAATGATGTATTGTCATCAGTTCAGAAACAACATAACATTTTTTTTTATTTACACACTAAAACATTTCTTCCTAGAGTGTGTCCTGAGTAAGAGATAAAAACACATGAGTTTTTCTGACTTCAAGGCCCCAAGGGGTTAGGTTCCCTTTAAGCCCTGAACCAGGCCTCTTCTGTCTATACTTTCCTAGACATTGCAAGATGTTTAGGGGCACATCCGTTCCAGGAGGAAATGGTACTGGACGCGTGGGTACTTAAAGGTAGGCCCTGGTGTAAGTTTGTCTTTGTGTGTGTGCCGGCCCTGCGATGAACTAGTATCCCATCCATGGTGTGTCCTGCATTGCCAGGATAGACTTTGCCCCCACCCCACCCCCCAGATGTGTGACAGAATTAGAATTAAGATGCAGATATCAAAGAATAACTGGATTTTAACCAGTTATTGCTATCTCAAAAACTGGAGATAGCATCTCAGCTAGAACTATCTCAGCCAGAACACAGCCAAAAATCTATAAAACAATAACAATGTTATATGGATCCAATTTGGATTTGGTGCATAAGATCCAAAATATTTTACAAAATATATAAAACAATACAAAAAAATATAATACAGTGCCATGTATATATATATATGGTATATTTACAAGGTGGTGACATTCCAGAAAGATGACTATGATAGTTTGAGCAAGTTTGAGGAATGGAAACAGGACATTTTCTGGTTGAGGATAAGGAAAAGCATGGAGAATTAAACTTTCAGTGACTTAAGATATACAGTGCAGGCTGTTAAAACTGCCCTGACAGAATAAAATAGAGGGACAATCAGTAATAAGTATAATCTTAACAACAGTCTCCACTGCTGTTGAGGCTATGAATTGTATATGGCCAGTCTTTTTCATAAGCACATAAACAAGTACATTCAGTATAATGGTTAATTCAAAATATGTACAATGTTGTTCTGTGACTCCGAGTATGTCCCCAGCATGCTGTGTCTATCTAAATGTATAATGGTAGCTGTCTTAAGTATAAATCATTAGGGATGGTGTATTCTTGAACATACTACAAAACACCATGTCTTCAACATACTGTTCTTCATTTTAATCATTTAGTCACCATTGTTTTTGTAGGCATGATTATATTTTCACAAAATTAAATTATCAAGATATAAACAATTATGAAGTCTTTTTTTTTATGCAAGCTTTTTAGTTACCTGAAATGTTTTGGCAAAAACCAAAGAATCTGTCTCCGATATAATTTTAGATGGATGCCTATACTCATTCAATATAAATCAACTAAGCAATAATCCTATGACTGTTAAAGATATTCCATCAAAGGTATAGGACACAAAATTAATTCAGTTATTGATGTATAATTGATTAAAAAGTATACTATACTTTTTATACAATGTTGAACATACCATAAGCCTTGTTACAAGGAGAAGGATTTGTTATAATTCTGTTGATGTCCATCCTTTGTTCTTTTCTCAAGAAAATAGATAATCTTATAGTTTTGAGATATTTCTCAGAAGGTATGAAGGTAATATAAATGTCTTTCCTCTATGGGATTTTTCAATTACATTGTAGAAAAAAACTATATGTATTCATCTAGACTGTTAGAAATCAAGGTCTTTCCAAGCGTATGGTATTACTGCTGACATCACCAGCAATACAATTTACTCTGAATGTTCTTCATCACAAGTTTCAAGCACCAGTCAAGACTGGAATTTAAAGTAGATACAGAGGCTAAAAGAAACTGCAGCCTTCATTGATGAAGGTGTCACTCAATTTGAACATATTTGCCAACCTGTTTTCTGTGCCCCATTTATATAAAATATTTACAAATAAAAACAAATATGACATGTGTACAAACAGTACAAACTGTGGTGAAATTTTACTTTTTCACATTCAATACAACATTTGACATGCAATGTACTTAAAAACCTTTTTGAAAAGACCCTTTAAATACTAAAACCACGTATTTCTCAAAATCTTAAATGTTAAGATTACGATTTATGCATTATTAAATGGCACACAATTAGCATCAGTGTTATTTTACAAAACTGTAATTTTTCTACAGTTGTTATATCAAAATATGGTTCAGTACCGTTAAATAATAAAACAGTACGACACTCAGCATACTCTTGACATAAAATGATTTGAATCAGAAAAACAAAACTGCAAACACAGGAATTTGAAGAATATAATAACATATTATGATTTCAGGTATATTTTGAGGTAGAGATAAAACCAAAGATTTAAAATTTAAAGCTGACTAAAAGAAGAAGAATGGGATAGATTTTGTAAAGCATAGAGACTGGAAACGTTTACTTAATCCATAGACCAGATTAAGACCAAATGTAAGCAAATCAAAATCTAAAAGGAGACTGTTCAAATAGTTTTACAAATCATTAAAAAATATAAGGAGAAAGTAAACAGGAAAAATAAAACTATATACAATTAAAAAGATTAAGACCCTGCGACAGGAATATAATGAAGTGCAAGCACAGGGAAAAGAGGTATTAGAAAAGCCAAGAGAGAGAAAAGAAAACTGCAACGGAGGTTATCATTCATTTAATTTAATTTTACTTGCATAAAATCTCATATCTAATATACCTGTATGTTAGATAATATTATTTAATATTCCCACATCTCTTAAAAACCATGTGTATACAGTAGTATTATTGCTGTGGTCCATTCTGATCTTTTCTGTTTTTAACACAAAGCGTTCACAACAGAAATATTCAACTTCAGTATGAACATCTGTATCAGACCCAAATGTCCAAATTTGCGACACATGCTGGAAGGTATTTTTTCACGTGTTTTCTCCATTTTGTGTTGGTTATTTTTCTGTGGTGTATTGTCCATAAGTAATGCTGCTCAATTTAATATTTCAGGATTCAGTAAAATCGAGAGCAGGACAGCTTGAGGCTGCTTTGTAAAGAGATCAATTCTAAGAGGTTAATACAAGCTTGCTTGTTACCTGTGAAGGGGTGAAACCTGACATTCGGAAAGCAGAGAAAACTAGAGGCACTTCTGTCTTCAACAACATCTCTACGTAATGAGCAGTGCAGGAGTAAATAGGATGGATCCCAGATTCCGCAATATCAACGGGATGGTGGACCTGACAAACATAAAAAAAGGGAAACAACGATTTCGTTAACTAAGTAATATCAGCTTCACACCAGGGCCATTTTTCCCAGATGTCAACCTACCAATGTGTCCTTGGACTGTGGGAGGAAACCCCTATGAACTCAGGGAGAACATACACACTCCACACTGACAGCACTCCAGGTATGGACCTGAACCAGGGCCCCAGAGCTGCAAGGCAGCAATGCTAATACAGTGCCACTGTGCCACCCAAAAATGAAATTTGTTTGTTAATGTCGGAGAGCTAGAAGAATGTCTAAAACTATCAAATCAGACATTTTTGTGCTACAAAAATCATTTGGCAGTCCCATGTACTTGTGGCAGTGGCAGAATGTTGTTAGCATTACAATGTACAAAGGAATTCTTATTTTAGTAGTGCAAGTCTTGCTGGGACTAGTGCACAGCCACAGCTGATGGTATATGAATGGGCAATAACATTTGACCAAGTTTCATTTGAACAGAACTCTAGCAGTATAGGCCAATAGTTTCATTCTTTAACACGAAGTCTCAATCCCTTTACATCTAACACTTATAGTGACATGTACATCTTCTAAACTCCATTTTGTACCATAAAACAATGAATTAAATAAAAAAAAACACTTTATTCTTTGAGCTTGAAAATACCTGGGCCTAATGTGTTACTACTCAACTTGGAGGTAGAGAAAGGATGAAATTCAGACAAAACCTGGTTTTAAATAATCATTAATAGCACCTTAACATTGTTGTAAATTTTCAGCATATGGATGGGTTTAAGAAAATAATTTCTTAGTACATTTTAATACTTAATAAAATCTTGAATCTAATTTTAAAACACAAAGATCTGCTACTAAAACATAAAGCTCTATTTTATTCTGTGATTGCTCCCAAAAGTGAACATGAATCAGGTAAAAATTGTGTTCTACTGACTCTATCCATCAGCAAGATGGAAAACCTCTATTATTATTCACTATATTTCTTTACAACTCACAGAAGCATGTAGTCTGGGCAGCCACAAAAATGCTGAGGCAAGAAGGTTGGAGAATGGCAGTAGAAATTTTAATGCTCTCTCCTTGTCTCCAGACATTATCAGAAACACAGAAGATGCAAACCAGTCATGGCCAGGATAAGCTCCCAGCAGACAATCTGTAAAGCAGAGTCAAGGATTTTTGACAGCAAGTATCCAGCTCTTGTCAGGAAAGACATGTTTCAGTTCTCAAAGGACACCTATCGACAGCACATAATCCATGATGAAGTTAGGAAGTTAAAACTGAAAAGAGGTTTTTTTTTTCCCATCTTGGCCATTAAACGTCAGGTTGATCTTTAACAATGGCTTTTAACACACTGTTTTATACCAGGGAATAGACAGAAAAGACTTTACTCCATGGTACAAATACAAGGACCAACAACACTGTAGGAAATCTATATAACGCAAAATAAAAAGATTAATACAGGCACATAATACTAATTCATGGAATGTAATGCAATGCAATCTTTTTTTTTCCAGTGGCAACTGGAGATATAGTTCTATATTAATTGTTGAAACATACATTACATTTAAAAGAAAAAAAATCTCTGTGGCAAGAGTATAGACATAAATAAATAAAAAATATAGCTGTGTTGGTTATTGATGGTTTATATCACATCTCCATGATTAAAGAGCATCTAGTATATACAGTAGGCTCACGCTTTACACAGTAGTTAGGTTCCTGACATACAGTAGCTCCTATACCCCAAATCACATATAACCAGAAGAGCCCGTTAGACCCTCCTATTCCCCTGCCTTAAACAAGTGAAATCAATCGTAAGTGTATTACAATGTACGTAGTTTTAAATATGATAAAAACAGTAATAAAGCAAGTACAGTACTGCACAGTAGACAAAAGAGATCTTATAAGATTGAATAATGATAAAAATGCAGAGAGCACAGCAGATGCACAGCTCTCACGAATAGCCTTCTCCCTGTCTCTAACTGCACAAATCAAAGCTCCATTCTTGCCATACATAAAGTATGTACCAAACTGGGTACTGTCATTCCACCCCTTAACCTTTTCAGGCACTTAACCAAATCAGGCACTTTTCTTGATTTGCCTTTCCTGTGAGCCTGTTTCTTTCACCTTTGTACTTGTATACAGTTTACGGGCCATATTGTGGGTGATGCCACACAATAAACAAAGCACCAGAGTGCTATAGGCTCTGTAACTGGTTCCCAAAGCATAGCTCAGGTGTATGCTGAGCCAGATTGGAATTTGTGAAATTGACTTTTCATCGCTGACTGCGTGTACATAAATTTGCATAAAATATTTTGCGTAAAGCATGAGTTTACTGAATATGTACATACTGTAGATAAATACAAATAAGAGCATCAAACGAAACAATTTTCTATAATTGCAACGGTATTATCAGTAAAATAATGAATGATTTTGCTGCAGGTGACTGTATTGAACACACATGGATGATATACCACTGTATATCAGTAAACCCACAAGCCAGTAGTGAGTGGCCACCACTGGGAACAATACAAATAGTACATCTGTGACACAAGCTTGGCAGCAGGTTGTAGATGCTGTCTACCTGGATTCTGCGCCATTTCTCTCACACAGCTGTAACAAGCATGCAACTCTTCACTGGTCTCTGAGCCCTAGATCCCACATGCCATCCCAGCTCATCCATTAATTGTGCATTGAGCTCATGTTTGGTGAGAATGGCATTTACAAGATAATCACCATTCTCATCTCGCAAGAATGCTACTGTTACAAGTGTAGCATGTTACCTGAATTCATTACCCTACTGGAATGGAGTCAGGTGAAGGTGTCATGACTTGTGCTCTGAAATGTGGACTATTAAAGATGGATTGTGTTAGGCTGTAACATATTGCCATATTTGAATTTCTGGGCTGTGAACAACCCCAATGGGTGAGCAACAGTGCACTGACTAACAACACAGTACACTAAGGCACTGTTTTCATGATAAGTGGGCATACTGCTTTCTTTCCATCTTTGTTTCTGGATTTTCACCAGATTCGACTTGAACAAGTTAAATCTCATCACATCACATCATTGGGTTTCTGAGCAGCTCATCAATACATATCAGTTCTGGCAGTGAGTAAATTAGCTTTCAGACTTAATTTAGAACCAGTATCGTACAGATCTGATATGAGGACACTACCTCCACCTGCATTTTCGTACTATAAAAGCAAAATATATTTTGTTTATACACATCTACATATTTATTATGCTTGAAAGACAATAATCTGATATTATTAAAAATGTAGTTTAATTCTGACAGTTATGAGTTTAATAAGGATACAAAGAGGTGATTTAACTTTTATTTGTTGCTGACTCAGAAATGTCTGGCAGTGTTTCATAAGCAGACAAAGTTCCTGCTCCACGTCTTCTTTAATCAATTTTAAGTACATGCCATATCTGAAAAATAAATAAAGTTACCTTTAAAATAGATATTTATAACATATATGACAAAGTTTTGAGTTCACCTAAGTGTGGACATCAAATTTTTTTGTTTAACTGTCCTTATCAAATAACTTGCTTTCCAGAAAGACAGCACCATTTAAGCAAACCATACGTTGTACCTGATTTGCTGATGACTAATTTAGTTATAATTACAAAGCATGAAATAATTTGACGAATGTGCTCTTTTAAGCTCCTTATCATAGAACCAGATATGACAGATTTCAATCCAACACAAGTTGCAAGTTATACGCACTTAACAGTTAACAATTTGTTTCCAATAATGATATTGAAGAAAATTCTAAAAACAAATAAAATTGAAACCATGATCAAGTCATGAATTTGCAGTTTATAACTGACAAGACTACTGAGTTCGGATTTATTCATGAATCATACTTACAGTGTATAAATGCATAAATGTGTTTTTGTACAAACATGAATTCATCCAAAAACCTTTTTAAAATAAAAATGTACACTCATAATATGTATTATGCATTACATTTAAAACTTATGCAAATCTAAATTAAAAGTTAAGTATGTGATAATACCAGAAGAAGTTCATTACAATTAATAACATTTTACATTCACGACAAAAATAACAGTAACCAGAGAAGATATACTCATGAAAAGTACCTGATAGACATTTTAATCCCGAGCTGCTCCAAAGTTGATAGGTTTTGATTCTTAACACTGCTATCAAGTGCTATAAAAAGATAAAACAAAGATAGAATGTTAGGACCTGTGTTATCTACCAATTTATGTAGCTATGTAGTTCACATATAAAGACATCACAGCAGAAGTGCAAAACTACTTCAGTAAAAACACAGAATTAAATATGAACAGATCCAAAATCACTATATACTATTAGGGAATCACCTCTTTAAAAAAAGGTTATGGCAGATATGAAATAGAACTATTTTAAGTCACAGAACAGTAGGATTATAGCATTTTTTTACATAGACTTACTGAAGATGAGTTCCAATTAAAAGAGATAGAAGTAACCAGAAAATATTAGTATTAATTACTATTAATTATTGTGGTTTTCTTCGATTTAGAATACAAAATAATGTTACAAAAAAGCAATAATAGTCACTTATATGAAGTTTGATTTCAGTAAATGCTTTTACTATTGAAAACAGCTTAGGAAATGTACTTGTCTTTTCTAATTATCAGATGAAACGTACAATTATCACCTGCGGACAAAGCACCAGGTTGTTTTGTAATAGTAGTACTGTACCACTTTACTATTGTTCCACATATTAATAGTCCATTTTAGCTACAGCATAGCTACACTGTGGAGCTCAGAGAGAGTTAAACTTCAATGAATCAGGCTACACAGTGAAAACTGTCAGGTTGTGTCTAAAGTAAATCACTGAGCCAATTTTACATGTCAGTCACAGCAACAGATGATATGGGCAGTTAAGTGAAGTGAACTGAATGGACTATGACAGCTACTCCCTAGGTATTTCATCTGGTTAAAAGAATAACAAAGCGAAAGGAAGAAATGTTTCATTTTTTCACCACAATCTAACTTTCCATCTAAGATCTACTTCTATAAATAAGCAGCAGAAGACATTGGAAATTTGAACTTCTTATCTTTCTCTGCAGCTTATAAGTTTGTATTACATTGAAATTCAGTATGAAAAATAGTAAAGCTATAGTATTAATATTGTTGACCCAGTAGTCAGAGCAAAACCATAAAAAGATAAAGCTTGATTTGCAGCTTCCGTCTCTCACAATCAGTCTCACAATTGTGGAAAATAAAGTAAAGAAAAGGAAAGAGGTGACACAATAATCAAGCTTTGTGTGGCTTGAATGATATAACCACAATGGTTATATGCTTACACTATTTTAAAATTGCTTCAGACACACTCAAGTGCTGAATGGCTTAGTGGGTGAGCTATTTGACACAATAGTAATAAACTATTTATAGATCACCTTTAAAGGTTTTACAAGGCTTTACAGAATGACAACAACAATAAAAAATACCCAAGATATGCACAATGAAAATAGAAAATGAGAGGAGACAGCAGATGGGGGTACTAAATACAGAAGGCGCAGAGAGGTAAATAACACAACCAGTTAAGTTAAGGCCCTTCTAAAGAAGAAGATTTTAAGTCTGGATTTGAAGGAGTTTAGGAAAGGGAAGGGAACATATTTAGCTTTAATCTTCCTGGTTGAGGGAATGTTACTAAATCACTTAATTAGTGATGAAGTGATTCAACCTGCAGAATCTTAACCCTGGTGACGATCTAGAAAGATAAACTGCCTGTCAAGAGAGCGACACCTTCCTGCTAGCAGCCTGCCGAAGACCTGACTACAAATGGACTCACCAGCAGGGAAGCCAATTCCACAATGAATCCATGGTTTTGTGTACAGTAGATCACCCAGAGGGTTGTCACAAACTACGGCAGAGATGTTCAGAACGATACAATAAATGTGTGAGGTGTACAACAGAAAGTTTGATGGGAAGGTCCACATGCATTGTTCTAGAAAGGACCATCTAGTCAAATACAGAACTTGCAGTTTACATAATAATAATAAATTGTAAGCGAAGTAGAAGGCGCTACAGAGATACTGGATCAGCACTTTCTGCCCTTCATGGGGCTCATCCTGGATTGACAGCATTCCAGTCACACAGCACGTGTCCTCATGCTGCTCTCATGAGAGCAGGATGTGATTTACTTGTGCCTTGGAAGCCCTGTTCCTAAACCAGGATCAGGCCAGTGAACGGTTGCATTCTTGTCCACGATATATGAGAACCTCGTAATAATAATAATAATAACAACAACAACGACAACTTTTATTTATAAAGCACCTTTCCAAACTCAAGGACACTGAACGTCTTGAATAAAGACAAATACAAGAAAAGCACGTTAAGAGTAAATGAACAAAAAATCAAAAGTACTGTATGCAGGTTCATAAAAAAACTGACTGCAGGCAATCAGACATACACCTTGGTAAAAAGGAAACAGTGTTAACATGGAGGACTTCAGAGATGTACTGTACAGTATGATAGAGCCAGATCGTTTAGAGCCTTGAAAAT